AGTTTACCATTCGTTCTTACTTTGAATATTGCTACCACATCTAGTCCTGTGCTCTTGCTATATATTTAGAATTTCAACATAAAGTCCAAAGAAAAATCTGCAATTTTATTGATCCTGACCTGGCATCTCAGTTTCAGTCTCTTTCCTGCCACCGAAATGTAAGTTCCTTATGCCTTTATTTGGTGCCCAGAGCTGGATAAATATTTTCATGGTAATTGTTCTGATGAATTTGCTTCTAGTGTACCCAGACTTTCTGAATTTAAGCGCAGTACTAGATTGGCGGCAAGGTCTCATCCATTTACAGTTGTAATGGCGAGATGTAACCGTAATTTCTACACTAATAGTTTCTTTTATCACATTTCTCGCTTGCGGTATTTTCTTCTTGCTTCTTGCTTCTAAGTCAACTTTGATCTTCAAAAAATTTAAAACCATATCAATTCTGCCTTTCTAATTCCAGTTCTTTTTCGTTCTCTCACCTGAATAGTACTTTCTAATATTCTCCAACAATCAGTAACCCCCCAGTTTTAGATGAAATCTTGGGGTAAAAAAAAAAACTAAGCTTTCTTTGTTTTCGTATCGTTAGAAACATTTCAAAAAACTGCTGAACTGCTACGTGATATCTCCTATATGGCAGGACAATCTTCTCATGCCTTTCATAAACTAAGCAAAAGTATTAAATATTTTTTTAGATGTTTTTTAAACAAAGAAAAATATATGAACTGCTATGTAATATCTAATCTCCTATATGGCAGTTGAATGCTGGACCATCTTCTCAGCCTTTTAACTAAACTAAGCAAAGTATTTTATTAGGAAATATTTTTAGAAACAAAGAAAAAAAAATGCTTTTTTATATCGGTTCTCCTATATCAGAGTAAATTTTGGATAATTCTGCACAGATTAAAAATGAATTTGACGCAACAGAAATATGGTTCTACAGAGTTTTGTTGAGAATGCCATGTTCTGAACATGTGAGAAAAGCGGAAGTTTTACGGTAAATGAAAACAAATTACACATACTTAGAATCAGAAAGAGAAAACAGAAATTTCCACGCCACATATTGTGGAAGGATTGTGCGGAGAAGTTATTACTCATGGGACATATTAAAATCATGGAGACAGAGAATAAGGTATTTGTGTGAAAATGAATGCAAAGAAATCAATTTTTTTTTTTCGGAATTCTTAATCGTTCGCCCATTCGATAGAGCTTTTACTTTTGAAAGCCAAACTTCATAAATTCAATTTTACGCCTAATAGTCATTTTCATTATTTGCAAGATCCCCTAACCAGAGTAAACACTGGCATTAATTTTGTTCATCAAAAAATTATAGTTCTATGCAAGAAAAAAGTCTGATTCCCTAACAGCAATATATTCGTAACTGATTTTTGATGTTGTCCGTCCTGCTAAAGGAATAATTTAAAAAATCAGTGAAAACTCAAATCATTATATATATATTATTCATATATATATATATTATATATATATAATATATATATATATATATATAATCACCTCTCATTTGAAAGGACCTAGATTCCAAACGGGATCCCACGATCCGTTTAAGAGCTGGTGAAACTAAATAGGTTTGTCACGTGCAACACATAAATCTAATGTATGTTTATAATATGTATTGAGCTCTTTTGTTATCGAATTGTTACTCGTATCGGGTTTTTTAATAAATAGTTTGGATTAGATTTCAGACCTGCATCTGTGCGATTTTTTTCGTCAGAAATTCCATGTTTGTAGCTCTTTCTTTTTTAAAAAATTTTTTCCCTCGAGATTGATTTGATTATGCCCTCAAAAAATTCGAAAATATTTTTCATCGGCGAGTTTATTTTCTATATATATATATATATATATATATATATATATATATATATATATAAATATTTATTATTATAATAATTCATTAGTCATCGAAACCGTTTTTATCGACTCTACAGGCTTTTTTTATTATTAAAAATTCATTCATATATATATATATATATATATATATATATATATATATATATATATATAATTCACTTTTATTCAGTTACCGTCTTTTCTCAAAATTTCTTTTTTTATTTTTCACATTCAACTTATTTTTCTTTTTTTCTTTTTGGGGATCTCAACGGCTTTAGCATTTTTCCGTTTAAATTTCTTTATTTTTTTTTTTTTACTTTCTTTTTCTTTCTTTTTGCCTACATGAAAGTAGGTGTTTTTTTTTTCATTAAGAGTTTGCTTCCCCTGGACTGTTTGCCACTCTTTTCCTATTGGACCATTTTTCCCTTAACTTCTTTTCTTCTTGGTTTCATTTCGTTCCCAACTTTATTAGTCTGTAAATGAATGCGATGAACTCAACTGAAATTCGAACTCTGATCTTTTATTCCTAAATTCGAGCCCGCTAATCATTGATCGATATAACAAATGGTATGTTTTTTTTAACGACTTCTTGTGACGACTGTTCTCCTCCGACTGGCTTCCAGGAAACTTATAAAATGATCCAAAATGTTTGCTGGGAGCAAACCGTCTGTATAAAGACAGAAAATGAATTCAGTATCATACTTATTATAAAACCCAGGTTGTGTGTGTGTGTGTCTGTTCGTTTATATATTGGATCGGATTTCCTACATTTTTCAACCAATTTCAACAAAACTTCACAGAACTACGTAAAATTACATTGCAGTGGTTCTGACAGCGCCAAAATTAGAAAAACACAAATGTTTTTGCACGAAATCAATTTGAATATACGATTAATAGGCATCGCTTTCTTTCGAGAATGAAAGAACACAACAACTATCGAGTTATACTTATTATAAGTTCGTTTATAGTTATTTTTTTTCAGGTTGGCTTAGATGTACACAAGGCAGAAAATATTAAAAAATCTAAATGTCGAACTCACTTTTCAGTTGTGTGATATGTGTTGCTAACCATTACACCACGAATGAGGTGTGTGTTCGTTTATATATGGGATCGGATTTCCTACATTTTTCAACCGATTTCAACAAAACATTTTTTGGCAGGTAATGTTTCTTATTGTCTTGCACACTTTTTTCTTTATTTTTACATTCAGAATGCTTTAAAAATTACATTTACAAGACAATTGTTTATAATAAAATTGAAAAATTCTATTCAATCAGTAGACGATTGAAAACAATGTTTTTGTTTGAGTTTGGGTTTGACCAATTCGTAAAAAAAAACAAAAAACAAAACAAAAAGAAAACTAATTTAGACATGCGTGTCCTTCAACCTTAAACAATAATCTTTGTCAATTTTATTTTTCAGTCTTTATGATGGTCGATACTTGATCTATCTCTTACTGTTACATCCCCCGGGCAACGCCGGGCTCTACTGCTAGTATATATATAAAATTCAAGCATCGTAAAACAAGGATATTTCTTCTTACCAAACTTATCAACATTTACATTAAAAGGGTGATCCTTCTCAAATGGAATGTAGCTCCAAATTAGAATTCATTAATGATGGCCTTAATAAATATTATCAATAAAAAGATGCAATGAATATCAGTGTTAATAGCAGACGGAGCAATAAATCAAAAAAACTATGACTAAAAGGTTAGGTAATAGTTAAACTAAACAGCCCAAAAATAAACTTTTGTGATCCTATTTTTACTGCATTTTTAAATCTCAAATACCAAGTTTTAAAAATTTTATATATGTTTTATTTTTTTTTTTTTTTTTTTTTTTATTGGTGTATAGGGAGAATAACGTTATCTTTTTTCCTATATCTCTTCGCTTGACTTAAAGGTAAAATCAAATAGCGATCGAAGATTTGGCGCCGTTTGAACACCGAATCGATCTCTCCGGAAAAATCGTTAGTTTGCCTTTCCTTGCCAGCTTATTTAGAAAAATCTATTCTCGTATTTGAAAAAGAAAACAACAACAAAAAACAAAAAAAAAAAAAAAGAAAAGAAATATTCGACAGCTTTTCCGTTTTCTCCCGAGCAACATATCGATCCTTTTTAATTAAACTGAAGATTTTGAAGATTTTTTTTTTTTTGGATTTTTAAATTTGTTATTTGAATAAACGAAATCTATTTTTTATACAACGTGAGGACATTTATACGTTAAATTCTTTTTAAAGCGTGTTTCGTCGTAAGAAAGGACAATAATCCACTGCAATCGTAAATACCCAGAAAGAAACTGTTAGTAAGATTGGTTGAGTTTATGACCATTATCCACTTCATCGTAAACGCTTAGAAACGTAAATGCGTATAAACTAAAACATTAATAACTTAAACGCATTAAAATAAACGTTTAGGTAAATTAAAAAAAAGAAACTGTTAAAACAAATAATGATTTCAACTTCCGGTCCGGAATAAGACTCTGCCACTTCAACCGCAAGGAAACGCTTCATGGCTTAAACGACTTCCGGCCAATTATCCAACAGGAAAATTAAACGTTTAGAAATCCCAAACATTTAGAAATTTATAATTGAATCACTCACGACGATTATCCGCGTTCAAGGTAAGAGACCACCTGTCAATTAAACGCTTAGAAACTTAAACGCTTGGAAATTTAAACGCTTAGAAACTTAAATGTTTAGAAACTTAAAGGCTTAGAAACTTTTCTTTCTTAGAAATGCAAACATTTAAAAACTGTTAGTTTGGTTGTTTTCACGAATTTCGCTTCAACGTAAATGCTTAGAAACTTAAACGCTTAAAAAATAAACGCTTAGAAACTTAAACGCTTAGAAATGTAAACATTTAAAAACTGTTAGGTTGGTTGATTTCACGACGATTATCTGCTTCAAGATAAGCGCTTAGAAAATTAAACGCTTAGAAAGTAAAACGTTTAGAAGCTTAAACGCTTAGAAACTTAAACGATTAAAAATGCAAATATTTCGAAATTGTTAGTTTGATTGTTTTCAGGAATTCCGATTCATCATAAATGCTTACAAATTTAAATGCTTAGACTCTTAAACGTTTGGAAACTTAAACGCTTTGAAACGTAAACATTTAAAAATGTAAATATTTAGCAGCTGTTAGGTTGGGTGATGTGATGATTATCCGCTTCAAGGTAAACGCGTAGAAGTTGAAATGCTTAATAAGTTAAACGCTTAGAAATGTACACAATTGGTAACAGATTGGTTGATTTCACGCCGATAATTCTCTTCAGCATAACGTTATACAAGCGTCATTCAATAAATAAGGTGAATTTTTCGGTATAAGGACTTCTAATACAGATAGAAGCTTACTTTTTTTTATTTTTCAACGTAGTCTCCCAGCACTGTCACACACTTTTCCCATCTGTGCACAAGCTTCCGTATTCCCTCAGCGTAAAAAAATTGGACTGATGTCTCAGCCAGTCGCTCACAACACTTTTTTGACTTCATCGTCACTTTTAAACTTCGTGCCTCTCGTGAACGCTTTCAAGGGACCAAACAGGTGAAAGTCTGAAGGGGCAAGGTCTGGGCTGTAAGGGGGGATGAGGGAGCAGTTCCCAGCCCAGCTCGTTGATGGTCTGCACCGTTTGGGCTGCTGTGTGAGGCCTTGCGTTGTCATGA